CTGGGCAACAGATCAAGACCCTGTCTCAAAGAAAGACCAGGAAACTCCATCACAGTAATGATGGAAGCAATTTTGGAGGTGGCAAAAGCTGCAGTAATTTTGGCCTTTACAACAAACAGTCTTCGAATTTTGGATCAAGAAGGGAGGAGAGTTTGCGGGCGGAAGCCCTGGCCCCTGTGGTGACGGAGGCCAAGATTTTGCCAAAACATGAAAGCAAGATGCCTATGGCGGTTCCAGCAGCCACGGTGGCCAGGGCGGTGGCAGAAGGCTTCAGTTACTTTGGGGAAATGAAGCTTAGCCAGTAGAAAGAGCCAGGGAAGTGACAGGGAAGGTCAGGTTACAGATTTGTGAACTCTGCCTCAGGTGATCCACCCACCTCAGCCTCCCAAACTGCTGGGATTACAGGCGTGAGCCGCTGCACCTGGCCAATTTCTGTAATTGTGTAGTATTCTATTGAGGCCGGGCCCAGTGGCTCACGCCTTCTGAGCCTGGCTGCTTTTGCTCAGCATAATTACTTAATATTTAAGATTCATTTGTAATAATCCCAGCACTTTGGGAGGCTGAGGCGGGTGGATCACGAGGTCAAGAGATCGAGACCATCCTGGTCAACATGGTGAAACCCCGTCTCTACTAAAAATACAAAAAATTAGCTGGGCATGGTGGAGCACGCCTGTAGTCCCAGCTACTCAGGAGGCTGAGGCAGGAGAATTGCCTGAACCCAGGAGGCGGAGGTTGCGGTGAGCCGAGATCGCGCCATTGCACTCCAGCCTGGGTAACAAGAGCGAAACTCCGTCTCAAAAAAAAAGATCCATTTGTGTTGTTGCATGTACCACTGGTTCATTACTTTTCTTTTTTAAAGAGACAGGGTCTTGCTCTGTCACCCAGGCTGGATTGCGCAGGTCACCATCACAGCTCATTACAGCCCCTGGGCTGAAGGGATCCTCCCACCTACTCCTGAGTAGCTGGGAGTACAGGTGCATGCCACCACATGAGCCAGGTGTAGTAGTTCATGGCTGTAATCCCAGCACTTTGGGAGGCCAAGGCAAGTGGATCACCTAAGGTCAAGAGTTCAAGATCAGCCTGGTCAACACAGTGAAATTTCATCTCTACTTAAAAAAAAAAAAAAGAAAAGATAGCTGGGCATGATGGGTGGTGGCGGGCGCCTGTAATCCCAGCTACTTGGGAGGCTGAGGCAGGAGAATCGCTTGATCTCGGGAGGTGGAGGTTATAGTGAGCTGAGATCATGCCACTGCACTCGGCCTGGGTGACAGAGCAAGACTGTCTCCAAAAAAAAAAAAAAAAAAAAAAAAAAAGTCGAGATGTCTCCCTATGTTGCCCAGGCTGGTCTCAAACTCCTGAGCTCAAGTGATCCTATAACATTGGCCTCCCAAACTGCTGGGATTACAGGCGCCACTGCACCTGGCTGAGTTCGTACTTTTAAGCTTTTCTTTCAACATAAGTTTCAGGTGAGAGATGTAGTTTCCATGCACTGAGACACACAGACGCCTTTGCCGTGGATTCCCCATTTCGCGCACAGGCACAGATGCATTTCCCCAGGCAATTAAATACCAAGGACTTCCTGCAGACGCTGAGTGTTCAGGCCACACAGTTTGTCCTTGAGTGGCTTCGACCACCCTCACCCCCAGGTATCCAGGAATGTGCCAAAAGCCCTGACAGCTGTCCTCAGGCACTAAGAGCTTCCTCCCCATTTTCAGCAGCTTCCTTCAGTCACCCCTGAGCTGAGAGTCACTGAGTCAGAGGCTGGGGACTTGAGGTTCCTTGGCAGACAGCTTTCATTTTTACCTCTCCCTCCTGCCCTGTCATCCACGCAGCCCCAACACACGCGCGCGCGCGCACACACACACACACACACACACACACCTGTTTTCTTATCTGCAACACATCCCTTTTCATTTAATACGGGGAAGAACAGAAATAGCTCCTTAAAGCCCTTTCTACAGGATGTGGTGGGGAAGAGGGAAGCTCTGACGTTAGTCTCTCGCTTCATCCATTTCTTTTATAAACTGCCTGCTCTATTTTTATAAACACTTTGTCCTGGAGAAACCTTCCCAAGGCCATAATATACACTGAAGAAAGACTAGCAGAAAACAAAACACTAAACGCTTCTTCCTAAAAAAAAAAAAAAAAAAAAAAAAAAAATTAAAGATACCACATACAAAGTCAAAAGACAAAAGCAACCTGGGGGAAATGTTTGTGACATGTATGACAGACTGTGGATCCACAATAAATAAAGAGCTACTACAAATAAATAAGAAAATAACAATGGCAGCCAGGCACAGGGGCTCACGCCTGTAATCCCAACACTTTGGGAAGCCAAGGTGGGCAGATCACCTGAGGTCCAGAGTTCAAGACCAGCCTGGCTAACATGGTGAAACTCCCTCTCTGCTAAAAATACAAAAATTAGCCAGGAGTGGTGGTGCAGGCTTGTAATTCCAGCTCTCGAGAGGCGGAGCTTGTGGTGAGCCAAGATCACCCCAGTGCACTCCAGCCTGGGCTACAGAGCGAGACTCCATCTCAAAAAAAGGAGGGAAGGGCCAGGTGCGGTGGCTCAAGCCTGTAATCACAGCACTTTGAGAGGCCGAGGCGGGTGGATCATGAGGTCAACAGATCGAGACCATCCTAGTCAACATGGTGAAACCCTGTCTCTACTAAAAATACAAAAAAATTTAGCTGGGCATGGTGGCGCGTGCCTGTAATCCCAGCTACTCAGGAGGCTGAGGCAGGAGAATTGCCTGAACCCAGGAGGTGGAGGTTGCGGTGAGCCGAGATCGCGCCATTGCACTCCAGCCTGGGTAACAAGAGCGAAACTCCGTCTCAAAAAAAAAAAAAAAAAAAGAGTCACTCTGTCACTCATGCTGGAGTAGTGGTGGGATCTCAGTTCACTGCAAGCAGCCTCCTGGGTTCCAGTGATTCTCGTGCCTCTGCCTCCCGAGTAGCTGGGATTACAGTTGCCCCACACCACACCTGGCTAATTTTTGTACTTTTAGTAGAGACGGGGTTTCGCCATGTTGGTTAGGCTGGTTAGAAATGACCTGCCGCGTTGGCCTCCCAAAGTGCTGGGATTATAGGTATGAGCCACTGCAACCGGCCCCCAATTTTTATATAGACACCATCTAAGTGTGTGCTGTTTGGCAGGCAGAATTATAGCACCGCACCCCCCACCCCCCGACAAATGTCCACATCCTCCTCTCTGGAACCTGTGAATGTGTTGTCTTACACGGCAAAAGGGACTTTGCAAATGTCACTAGTCAGGGTCTTGATATGGTGAGATGATCCAGATTATCCAGGCAGGACGAATGTAACCACAGGTGTCCTTATGAGTAAAAACGAGCGGCAGGAAAATCAGTCAGAGCCAGAGAGATGGGAAGATGCTACCCAGCTGGCTTGCGGGGTGGAGGATGGGGTTACCTGCCAAGGGCGGCAGGTGGCCTCTGGAGACTGGAAAAGGCAGGAAAGGATTCTCTCCTAGAACTTGCAGACAGCTTTGCTGACAATGGGATTTTAGCCCACTGAAACTCATTTCAGATTTTGAGAATTGTAATAAAATTGCAGTTTGTTTTTTTTTTAGACGGAGTTTCGCTCGTTACCCAGGCTGGAGTGCAATGGCGCGATCTCGGCAATTCTCCCGCCTCAACCTCCCGAGCAGCTGGGATTACGGGCACGCGCCACCATGCCCAGCTAATTTTTTGTATTTTTAGTAGAGACGGGGTTTCACCATGTTCACCAGGATGGTCTCGATCTCTTGACCTCGTGATCCACCCGCCTCGGTCTCCCAAAGTGCTGGGATTACAGGCTTGAGCCACCGCGCCCGGCCATAAAATTGCAGTGTTTTAAGCCACTAAGATTGTGATAATTTGTTAGAGCAGCAGTAACACATTACTTTATATTAATAAAAAGAAGTTTGGGCGCGGTGGCTCATGTCTGTAATCCCAGCACTTTGGGAGGCCAAGGCGAGAGGATCACAAGCTCAGGAGTTCAAGACCAGCCTGGCCAACATGGTCTAGACCCATCTCTACTAAAAATACAAAAAATTAGCCGGCTATGCTGGGGGACCTCCTATAATTTAAACTACTCAGGAGGCCGAGGTAGGAGAGTTGATTGAACCTGGGAGGCAGAGGTTGCAGGAGCTGAGATTGAGCCACTGTAGTCCAGCCTGGGCAACAAGAGTGGAACTGTCTCAAAAAAAAAAAAAGGCTGAGCATGGTGGCTCACGCCTGTAATCCCAGACTTTGGAACCCCGAGGTGGGCAGATCATCTGAGGTCAGTAGTTCGAAACCAGCCTGACCAACATGGAAAAAACCCTGTCTCTACTAAAAATACAAAAAATTAGGTGTGGTGGAGCATGCCTGTAATTCCAGCTACTCAGGAGGCTGGGGCAGGAGAATCACTTGAACCTGGGAGGTGGAGGTTGCAGTGAGCTGAGCATGCCCCACTGTACTCTAGCCTGGGCAAAAAGAGCGAAACTCTGTCTCAAAAAAAAAAAAAAAAAAAAATTAACTAGGCATGGTAGCACACATCTGTGGTCCAAGCTCCTTGGTAGGCCGAGGTGGGAGGATCAGGATCAGCTGAGCACGGGAGGTCGAGGCTGCAGTGAGCCGTGATCCTACCACTGCGCCCCAGCCTGGCAATAGAGCGAGACCACGTCTCAAAAAAAAACCAAAAGAGTCCCATCCTCATAATCTTGTGAGCTGTAAGGAAGGTAAGACATGTCAATTGCTTAGAGCAATGCTGGGAGAGGGTGAGTGGCATTCAGCATCAGCTGAGTATTGTAATTTTAGCAGCAAGTGCCTGGAATCTAAACCGGCCGCCCCTTCCAGCCTCAGGGGCTCTGTGTGCAGGAGCAGGTCTGAAGAGCACCTGTGTCCCTCATCTTGCTCAGCGCCACGAGGGGCGTTTGTTGACTGACTGACTGATGGACTGACCGCAAGGCATCCTGGGTATCTGGTTCCCAGGGGAGTCAGGCAAGCGCTCAAAGCAAGGCCAGGCAGGACCACAGGTTTATTGGGGGCTCCACGCACACACGCTCACGGCATCACAGGACAACAGCACGGTCACTCAGGACACACATGGTGGCCGCTGCCCGCAGCCAGGGCCCAGAGGCAGTGGGGTGCAGTCTCCTCCCTTGTGGCCCAGATGCAGCGGGGTCCCTTCCTCATGGGCAGCTGAGGGAGGGGCTGTTGGGTTGGCCACGGGCCTGGAAAGGGGAAGCGAGCAGGCGAGTCCAGGAGGGGCCGGGGCCGGAGCCGGACCGGGTTGAGGTGGGGCTTGCCCGCCTCACTCCAGAGACTGCAGCATCAGCAGCTGTTTCAGCACCTTCGTCTGGCTGGTCTCACGTATTTCACCGGCCAGGAACATCTCATCCACAACCGTGTAAACCTGTGTGGGGAAGACCCTGCGGTGAGAGGAGGCCCCTGCGGATGCTGGCCCAGACCCTGGAAGCTGGGGCTCTGATGCTCCTCGAGCCGAGACACAGACCTCAGCAGAGGCTCCGGGAGGCTACTGCACCACGGGGCCCCCCTCTCTGCCCCTCCTCTGGCTCCTTCCTCCTCATCACCAGGAGCCTACCTTGTAGAAGTTGAACACCAGGTCCAGTTCACAGACGTTGTGGAAATACTCGTTTAAGACCTGGGAGAGGAAGGCAGAGATGGCAAGAGACGGGCAGGGAGACAGTCACACACACAGAGATGGGAACAAGGTCATCAGAGAGACAGTGAAAAACAGAGACCAAGGGGGAGGCGGGGAAGAGGGACAGTGACAGTGAGAGAGGCGAGGAGACACGCAGAGAGAAAAGCAAAGTTCGATGCAAAGAGATGGCAAAGGTCACATGGGGTGTCTCCCGCCTGTAATCCCCACACTCTGGGAGGCTGAAGTGGTGGATCACCTGAGGTCAGGAGTTCTAGACCAGCCTGGCCAACATGGTGAAACGTGTGTCTACTAAAAATACAAAAATTAGCCAGGCGCGGTGGCGTGTGCCTGTAATCCCAGCACTTTGGGAGGCCGAGGCGGGTGGATCGCGAGGTCAAGAGATCGAGACCATCCTGGTCAACATGGTGAAACCCTGTCTCTACTAAAAATGCAAAAAATTAGCTGGGCATGGTGGCGCGTGCCTGTAATCCCAGCTACTCAGGAGGCTGAGGCAGGAGAATCACTTGAACCCTGGAAGTGGCAGTTGTAATGAACCCAGATTGCACCACCGCACTCTAGCCTGGGTCCCAGCCATCGCAGAGGGGAGGGTTCAGGAGGGGCCTGGAGGGTTCCCAGCCCTCAGGGGCCACCCCAGGACTGCCCGCCCCCCTCCCCCTCACCACCCCACCCCACCCCCCGCCCCGTACCTCCACGAAGTTGTGAATGGCCTCCAGGTAAGCTAGGTTGTTGTCGTTGACGTCCACACAGATGCAGAAGTAGAGACCAGCATAGCGGCGGTAAATGATCTTGAAGTTCCGGAACTGCGGGACAGAGAGAGTGTCAGCAACAGAGTATGTCAGGACCCAATGTGCCAGGCAGACTGGGGCCAAAACCTTCAGTCCTTCACTCCACATGTGGTCCCGAGGCCCCGCTCTGTGCCTGGCCCTGTGCTGGGGTCACAGCAGTAGCCGAGACAGCACTAAATCCGCTCACGGTGCAGTGAGGGCCGGTTATCCCCAGGGTGGACAGGACTGGTCTGTGAGAACCTAAAGGGGGCACCTAACCCCCTCTGAGCCTGGGGAGTCAGGGAGGGCTTCCTGAAGGAGGGGGTATTGGAGCTGAGACCTGGAGGAGAGGCAGGAATGTTCCGAGCTGGTAGCAAAAGCCCAAGGCTGAGTCTGGCATGTTCAGCAGTGTCCATGCAGCCTTGCCACTTCCTCTGTGACTTCCTGCTACCTCTGAAGACAGTCACATTCTTTAGCTTGGAATTAATTATTTAACGAACATTTCCTGGGCAGCTACTCTATGCCAGGCCTGTGATAGGCAGTGCAGGGAGGAGGGTCACCACTGTCACCAAGACAATCCTGGGTCCTGCCCTCACTGAAATGTGATATATACAGTTAGCACAGTAACACACACACACCCCGTGAACAAATATGTCAGGATCAGGGACACAGATTCTAATTTTATGTGTGTGTTAAGTAAAGACACAGACACGGCCGGGCACAGTGGCTCAAGCCTGTAATCCCAGCACTTTGAGAGGCCGAGACGGGTGGATCACAAGGTCAAGAGATCGAGACCAACCTGGTCAACATGGTGAAACCCCGTCTCTACTAAAAAATCCAAAAAAATTAGCTAGGCATGGTGGCGCGTGCCTGTAATCCCAGCTACTCAGGAGGCTGAGGCAGGATAATTGCCTGAACCTGGGAGGCGGAGGTTGCGGTGAGCCGAGATCGCGCCATTGCACTCCAGCCTGGGTAACAAGCGAAACTCCGTCTCAAAAAAAAAAAAAAGACACAGACAAACAGACACACACAGACACATATATACGCATACTGGGTTACAATGTACAATATCTTTGGCCAAAACCTGAAAATCCCAGTTCAGTTCTTCAGGTTCACTAAAAAAAAAAACAAAAAACCCAGCACTACAAGAGGTGCAGGCCAGCTTGGGCAACATGGTGAAACTCGTCTCTACAAAAATACAAACATTAGCTGGACATGATGGCATGTACCTGTGGTCCCAGCGACTCGGGAGGCTGAGGTGGGAGGCTGACCTGAGCCTGGGAGGTCAAGGCTGCAGTGAGCCATGCTCGCATCACTGCACTCTAGCCTGGGCGGCAGAGACCTTGTCTTAAAAAACAAAAAAAGCGCTCTAGGGCTGGGCTGTGCATGTGGCGCCACCTGCTGGGGACCACGTGTGGCTGTAAGTGCCATCCTCGGTCCTCAGTTTTTTATGCATTTTTTCAGCTCAATCTCCTGTTCATTGCTATACTCCAAGCATGTTTTCAGGTTTTTGTTGTTGCTGTTGTTTTGAGATGGAGTCTCACTCCGTCGCCCTGACTGGAGTGCAGTGGCACAATCTCTGCTCGCTGCAACTCTGCTTCCTGGGTTCAAGCAATTCTCCTGCCTCAGCCTCCTGGGTAGCTGCGACTACAGGCGTGAGCCACCATGTCCAGTTAATTTTTGTATTTTTAGTAGAGATGGGGTTTCGCCATCCTGGCCAGGCTAGTCTCGAACTCCTGACCTCAGATAATCTGCCGGCCTTGGCCCCCCAGAATGCTGGCATTACAGGCATGAGCCACCACACCCGGCCTGAATAGGATTTCTAGTGTAACTACTCTAAGACGTACAAAGAACGCACAGGTAACTGACCGGACACTGATCATCGGTCCTCTTTTTTTGCAATTCGGCCTTTCCCGCTCTCACTTTCCTCTGCCTCCGGCTACCGCTCCATCTTTCTAGCCTCTCCTTCCCATTTTAAATGTTGAGGCTTCTCAGGGATCTGCCCCAGGCCACCATCTCTTCTCCAGCTACATTCTCTCAGAGTACATTCTCTCCTCCCGCAGGCTGGGGCAGGTGACCCCCCTGAACATCCCATGCCACTGTGGCAGCCCTGCCCCACCCCAGCCTGACCACAGCAGGTTGTCACTGTCTGGTGATGGGTCTGTCTCGCCACTGGACTCAACCTGTGAGCAAACCTGGAGCTGTCACACTGTCCCCAGTGCTGCCCTGCACAGGGCTGGCACAGGATAATGGCCCCCAAAGACGTCCACATCCCAATCCCAGACTCTGTGAATATGGGACCTTATATGGCAAAAAGGGACTCTGCAGCCCCTTAACTTGTGACGAAGTTAAGCATGAGATGGGGCGAACATCCTGGATCGTTCGGGTGGGATGAGGGTCATCACAGGGCTCCTAATGAGGGAGAGCAGAAGGCGGGACAGTGCGGGGGCTTACACCTGTCGCCCCAGCACTTTGGGAGGCCAAGGCAGAGGGATCCCCTGAGCTCAATTCAAAAGCAGTCTAGGCAACATACCAAGACCCCATCTGTATAAAACATACAAAAAATTAACTGGGCGTGGCGGTGTGTACCTAGAGTCCTGCTACTTGGGAGGCTGAGGTGAGAGGATCACTTGAGACTGGGAGGCAGAGGCGGCAGTGAGCTATGACTGCACCACTGCACTCTAGCCTGGGCCAGAGTGAAACCCTGTCTCAAATAATAACAAGAGGGATAGCCCGTGTCTTTCAGCTGCCTACTCCTCCCTTTGATTTTCACTCACCAGTCCCCTCCTCCAGGAAGCCCTCCAGACCCCCAGGGTGGGTCAGGTGCCCTCCTCCAAACAAGCTCCTCAATCCCAGCCCTGCCCACTCTGGGTGTCACTGTCTAGGGACAGGTTCATGTCCCTTCCTGGGCTGTGAGTCCCAAGAAGCCAGCACAAGGCTGCCTTGGTGATCACTGTGAACCCAGAACTGGGCTGATCACGGAGGGGCTCACAGCAACATCTGGTGAATAAATGCACAAATGAACAACTGAATGAATGGGCGGGCCTGGTTCCCAGAGGAGCCCAAGACGTGACAGGCAGTCTCCCCGGTAACATCCTCACCTGCCCAGCCAACCTTTCGTGCTGCTGCCCCTATATCATTGTGCCTCACTGACCCCTCCCAGGCCCCAGGCCTTGGCACACAACCGGCCGCTACAGTGGCAGCGAGGCACCCACACAGCTGGCACACCCGACGCCCCGGTTCCTCGCCCCAACCCCATTTGCTGCTCTTGGTGACAACACCCGCCACCTCCTCCTGGAGAGACAGCTCCAACACTGTCCCCGCCTGGCTGCTGGGACACCCGAGCTCTTGGTTCTCCTCTCCCGCCTCATCTCTCTGCCTGCAGAGGTGGCCCTCTGCTCTTTCCTCTCCTTGGTCTGTCCTCACTTTCCCGGCGAGTTCCTCAGCCTTGGTTTCCCTCTGTGCAGAAACGCCATTTCCATATCCTACCCAGCTTTCTCCGAGAACCCTGACTCTGGACCTCTCTGCTGGGAGGTGGACGATACCCCGGGCCTGACTCCTGCATCACCTCCCTCCCGTCTTCACCTCCGCTGCTCTTCCCGTCTGGCCATCTCAGATCATGACAGCTGCATGCTACCCGCGGACTCAAGTGGGAAATCTAGCTGTCTCGCTGGCTCTCGTTCCACATCCAGTTCTTGGCCCTCCAGCTGGGTCCATCTCCAACTTTCCTGGCTCCCCACGGCTTCCATGCTGGTCCACTCACCAGCATCTCCCACCCGGACCGCTGCGGCCACCTCTCTCCCCAGCAGTCTCCTGCTCTGCTCTTGCCCTGCAGGGTAGCCTCAAGTCGGTCCGTGGCCCTCCTCTGCTCGAAACCCTCTGTGGTTCAAGACCAGCCTGGACAACATAGCAAGACCGTGTCTCTACAAAAAATTTTAAAATTAGCTGGGTGCGCTGGCTCACACCTATCACTCTAGTACTTTGGAAAGCCACAGTGGGCAGATGGCTTGAGATCAGGAGTTCGAGAACAGACTGGGCAACATGGCAAAACCCTGTCTCTACCAAAAATACGAAAATTAGCAGGGCATTGGTGGCACATGCCTGTGGTCCCAGCTACCCGGGAGGCTGAGGTGGGAGAATCACTTGAACCTGGGAGGTGGAGGTTGCAGTGAGCCAAGATTATGCCACTACCCTTCAGCCTGGGCAACAGAGCAAGACTTCTTCTCGGGAGAAAGAAATTTTTTTTTTTTTTTGAGGCGGAGTTTCGCTCTTGTTACCCAGGCTGGAGTGCAATGGCGCGATCTCGGCTCACCACAACCTCCGCCTCCTGGGTTCAGGCAATTCTCCTGCCTCAGCCTCCCGAGTAGCTGGGATTACAGGCACGCGCCACCATGCCCAGCTAATTGTTTGTATTTTTAGTAGAGACGGGGTTTCACCATGTTGACCAGGATGGTCTCGATCTCTCGACCTCGTGATCCACCCGCCTCGGCCTCCCAAAGTGCTGGGATTATAGGCTTGAGCCACCGCGCCCGGCCAAGAAATTTTTTTAATTAAGATAGGTGTGGTGGTGCATGCCTGTGGTCCCAGCCATCTGGATTTATGAGGTAGGAGGCTGGCTGGGGCTTGGGAGGCTGCACTGAGCTGCGATTACACCACTGCACTCCAGCCTGGGCGACACAGCAGGACCCTGGCTCGAAAACACACCAAAAACAAAGATAACCTTCCTGCTCTCCGTCTGACTCACAGTGAGAGCCCGTCTTCGCTGCAGCCCTGCACCAAGAGATTACCCTGTTACCTGCCCTCTCCCATCTCCTCCACCTCTCACGGGCATTCCTGCTGTCCCTGGCCCGCCCTGAGGACACCCTTGCCCCGGGCCCTTTGCACTCGCTCTTCCCTTGGCTTGAAATGTTCCTTCCTCCCTCAACTCCTTCAGGTCTGGGCTCCAATGTCACCTTTTCAGCAACGCCATTCTGACCAAACCATTTAAACCTGTACCCTGGCTGGGCGCAGTGGCTCATGCCTGTAATCCCAGCACTTTGGGAGGCCGAGGCAGGCAGATCACTAGAGCTCAAGAGCTCGAGATCAGCCAGGGCAACGTTCTATAGGAAGTCTGATGAGAAGTATGAGCAAACGGAAGGGAAGAAGCCAGCAAGCTCAAATCGGGTTGAGTGAATGCATATGGGACGGATGGAGGGGCTGATGGGTTCTTGCAACTAGAGGCTGGGCAGGGAGTGGGGAAGGAGCGCAGGAGGAAGCGGGGGACGTGCAGGAGGCATGGGGCGGGCGTCACCTCCACAAAGTTGGTGTGCTTGGCGTCGCGCACGGTGACCACGGCGTGCACCTCCTCGATCAGCTTCTGTTTCTCATCATCGTCAAACTGCATGTACCACTTGGCCAGCCGCGTCTTGCCTGCCCGGTTCTGGATGAGGATAAAGCGGATCTGGGGGCAGCAGGAGGAGGAGGAAGTGAGAGGGGCACAGAGAGCGGGCTGGGTGCTGCCCTGCAGCCCCACCCATCCACCCAGAGGGGAGCTCAGGCTCAGGGCCTCCCTGCTGACTGCCTTCCAGGGGTCTCAGCTGCTCCCCAGACCCAAGCCAGGCCGGCCTGGCCACACACTCCATCCCAGGTCCCTCAAGCACCCTGTGGAGTGACGTCCGTCCCTTCCACAAGTCTCCAACTCTGGAGTCAGCTCCAGGGCCCTGAGTCCCAGCCTCCACCACTTCTTATCTGTCTCTCTTTTTTTGCTGTTGTTGGTTTTTTTTTTTTTGAGACGGAGTTTTGCTCTTGCTACCCAGGCTGGAGTGCAATGGCGCGATCTTGGCTCACCGCAACCTCCGCCTCCTGGTTTCAAGCAATTCTCCTGCCTCAGCCTCCTGAGTAGCTGGGATTACAGGCACGTGCCGCCATGCCCAGCTAATTTTTGTATTTTTAGTAGAGACGGGGTTTCACCATGTTATCCAGGCTGATCTCAAACTCCTGGCCTCAAGTGATCAGATACCTGTGTCTCAGCCTCCTAAAGGGCTGGGTCAGGCGTGAGCCACCACACCCCACCTAATGTCACCACTATCTAATTGACTGTCTAATTCCAGAACATTTTCATCATCTTTCCCTGAAAACCTCCCCACCCACTAGCAGTCGCTCTCTGTGCCCCCGCCCCTGGCAGCCACGAGTCTCCTTTCTGTCTCTGTGTGTGTGTGTCTGTTCTGGACACTGCACGTGAGTGGAATCATGCGCTCCGTGGCATTCGTGTCTGGATTCCTTCACTCTGCGGGACGTTTTCAGGCTCATCCGTGGGGCGGTAAGCGGCAGAGCTGCATTCCTTTCCGTGACTGAGTGACGCTGCTGGATGGATAAGGCCGACTTTGAACACGTGGGTTGTTTCTGCTGTGCGGCTATTATGAATAATACCGCTATGAAGATTTGTGTACAGGTTTTTGTGTGGAAGTATCATTTCTCTTGGGTGTAAGAGTGTGATTGCTGGGTCATAGAGTAACACTGTGTTTACCTTTCTCAGAAATTGCTGTTTTCCAAAGGGTCTGCCACTTTCGTGACTTAACTGTTTGGTTGCCTGAGTTTACTGTGAGGGGTAAAGAATATTCCTGGCTGGGCGTGGTGTTTCATGCCTATAATCCCAGCTCTGTGGGAGGCCAAGGCAGGTGGACCACTTGAGGTCAGGAGTTCGATGCCAGCCTGGCTAACTTGGAGAAACCCCATCTCTACTAAAAATACAAAAATTAGCCAGGTGGGATGTGGGGGTTGGCTGTAATCCCAGCTACTTGGGAGGCTGAGGCAGGAGAATTGCTTCAATCCAGGAGGCAGAGGGTACAGAGAGCAGAGAAGGCACCACTGCACTCCAGCCCGGGTGAAAGAACGAGACGCTGTCTCAAAAAAAAAAAAAAAAAAAAAAAAAATAGTGTAGTACAGTGACTAGTACAAACTGCTATATAAGTACCAGCTCAGCCGGGTGTGGTGGCTCACGCCTGTAATCCCAGCACTTTGGGAGGCTGAGGCGGGAGGATCACCTGAGGTCAGGAGTTCGAGACCAGCCTGACCAATATGGTGAAACCCCGTTTTTATCTTTATTTAAAATAAATAAATAAATAAATAAGTATCAGCTCTTGGGTCAGGTACGGTGGCTCATGCTGGTAATCCTAACACTTTGGGAGGCTGAAGCAGGTGGATCCCCTGAGGTCAGGAGTTTGAAACCAGCCTGGCCACCAGGGCGAAACCCTGTCTGTACTAAAAATACCAAAAAAAGAAAAAGAAAAAATTTAGCTGGGTGTGGTGGCACTTGCCTGTAATCCCAGCTACTTGTGAGGCTAAGGCAGAAGAATCACTTGAACCCAGGAGGCGGAGGTTACAATGAGCCAAGATCGTGCCACTACACTCCAGCATGGGTGACAAAGCAAGACTCCCTCTCAAAAAAAAAAAAAAAAAAAAATACCAGCTCTTAGCAGCATCACGTTTCATTACGTGACTTTCAGAAAACCATGGCCCAGGCTGGGCGCGGTGGCTCAAGCCTGTAATCCCAGCACTTTGGGAGGCTGAGGCGGGTGGATCACGAGGTCGAGAGATCGAGACCATCCTGGTCAACATGGTGAAACCCCGTCTCTACTAAAAATACAAAAAATTAGCTGGGCATGGTGGCACGTGCCTGTAATCCCAGCTACTGAGGAGGCTGAGGCAGGAGAATTGCCTGAACCCAGGAGGCGGAGGTTGCGGTGAGCCGAGATCGCGCCATTGCACTCCAGCCTGGGTAACAAGAGCGAAACTCCGTCTCAAAAAAAAAAAGAAAAGAAAAGAAAACCATGGCCCAAGCTTACCCTGCTGGAAGCTCTGGGGCCCATTTCTGTCTGAGACGGGCATGCTTACGCTCATTTTATAGATGAGGAAACAGATTCAGGGAAAGAAAGTCTCACAGCCAGAAAGCAGAGGTGGGAGTCCAAAGGCTTTGCTCTGAAACCCCGACCCCAACTTGTGGGAGCCTCTTAGGAAAGACAGTCCTCTTGTCCTGTCCTTTTGTGTGTGTGTTGGGGGGGGCATCAGAGTCTCACTCTGTTACCCAGGCTGGAGTGCAGTGGCAGGGTCTCAGCCCACTGCAGCCTCCACCACCTGGATTCAAGCGATTCTCCTGCCTCAGCCTCCCAAGTAGCTGGGATTACAGACATCCACCACCACGCCTGGCTAATTTTTGTATTTTTGGTAGAAATGGGGTTTCACCATGTTGGCCAGGCTAGTCTTGAACTCCTGACCTCCTGTGACCCGCCTGCCTTGGCCTCCCACAGTGCTGGGATTACAGGCATGAGTCACCACCCCAGGTTGAAAGTCTTCTCTCAGGAAAGAGAGTGAACTCTCTTTCCTAAGCCTCATTCTCCACACACTCTGTCCTCCCTCCCCCAACCAACCAAACTCGATAGGAACAGGATATTACACTCTGCTTCCAAGAACGCCTTCTGCTGAGCCAGAGAAAACCACTTCCTAGCAGTGCAGGGGTCCCGGGCAGGAAGGGACGTTGGAAGACCCACACAAGGTAGCTACAGCCTAGAAGCGACGCCAGAGACATGCATACAGAAGAAGGGGAACTAGAGGCAAACCCACGGAGTTGACAAAACACTCTGCCTCTTACTCCCAAACTCCCTGGTATACCTCTTCCTGTTTTTTTTTTTTTTTTTTTTTTTATGAGACGGAGTTTCGCTCTTGTTACCCAGGCTGGAGTGCAATGGCGCGATCTCGGCTCACCGCAACCTCCGCCTCCTGGGTTCAGGCAATTCTCCTGCCTCAGCCTCCTGAGTAGCTGGGATTACAGGCACGTGCCACCATGCCCAGCTGATTTTTTGTATTTTTAGTAGAGACGGGGTTTCACCATGTTGACCAGGATGGTCTCGATCTCTTGACCTCGTGATCCACCCGCCTCGGCCTCCCAAAGTGCTGGGATTACAGGCGTGAGCCACCGCGCCCGGCTCCTGTTTTCTTCCCACCTGGAATCTCTCCTCCTCAAGGACCCACCCTGAGAAGTCCCCTCCGTCCTGAATCCCTGCAAACTCGAGCCTCTGCTGTTCCCTCTAGCTGCCCCCCAACCTTCCTTGTCTCCAATCCCCGTCCTCTGGAGTTGTTCCCTTTTGACCTCCATTTTCCCAGTCTCAGTTCCCCTCCTTGCGGCCTCAATGGGCTTTTTAATTGGTGACATGCCTTGTTCCACTCCCAGGTCTCCTCCCTTCTTCAAAAGGTCATATTTTGCCTCCAAGGACCCTGTTCCTGGAGGAGACTCCGCCCCCTGCTCTGACACCCTTTCCAAACTTCCGGCCCAAACAACCCTTTTCTAGATCCAAAGCCCCAGCCTGGGGGACAAGGACACTCCTAAATCCAATGTCCAGTCTTTTTTTTTTTTTTTTGAGACGGAGTTTCACTCTTGTTACCCAGGCTGGAGTGCAATGGCGCGATCTCGGCTCACCGCAACCTCCGCCTCCTGGGTTCAGGCAATTCTCCTGCCTCAGCCTCCTGAGTAGCTGGGATTACAGGCACGCGCCACCATGCCCAGCTAATTTTTTTTTTGTATTTTTAGTAGAGACGGGGTTTCACCATGTTGACCAGGTTGGTCTCGATCTCTCGACCTTTTGATCCACCCGCCTCGGCCTCCCAAAGTGCTGGGATTACAGGCTTGAGCCACCGCGCCCGGCCCAATGTCCAGTCTTTGCCCCAACAAAGATCCCTCCCCAGATCTCACACTTCCAAGCCTACGCCCCACCCCACACGATCTCTCCTCTTGGAAAGACCTATTCAATTCCTATTCAACTTCTATTCAGCTGCTCCCCATTCATTCCTAGTGTCCATCTTACCTCCAGGCCCTCACTCCTTTTACAGCGCTTTCCCTGACCCTTAAGTCTCACTCCCTACTTCTGGCTTCCTGTGCCGGGTCTCTTCTCCTTGAGATGATCCCTGTCTCAAAAGCAGTCTCCTGACCCTGGTTCAACATCCCCTCTCCACCTGCAATCAAATCCTTGTCTCTAGAGACTCCTCGCACCAAGAAAACCTCCCTTCCCTGTTCCGAGGTCCCCGTTCTTGTACAGGACTCCCACCACACTCCCAGAGCGCCTTCCTTTTTCGGAAGCCCCCTCCCCACCTCCAATGCCTTCTCGCAACCCCCAAGACCGTGCCTTGCGAGTTTCCTCCCGTTTCAAAGCTCCCAACCATCTACGATGTCTCCCACCTGCACAGCCCTTTCCCCTTGGAACCGCACCCCCAATGCCCCTCGCCGCGAGACCCCCGGTGACCCCCGCGCAGAGAATCCCCGCCCTGTGCCCTCCGTCCCGGCCCTGGATCGGCCCCAATCCCCAGAGCCCGCGCCCGGCCGAGACCATCCGCAGCAAAGGAGGGGCTTGTCAGCGCCCGATTGAGCCTCAGTTATTTACGCGTGCATTTCCCTCCGCCAGTCCCCGGCGTAGAGCGCCCCCGTTACCATGGCGACCCCCGTCCGGACCCCAGCGGCCCCGGTCCCGCGGCGACTGGGCAGCTCCGGCTCAGGGTGCAGTTGTGGGGCCCAGAGGCAGAGCGGACTTCCGGCAGAAAAACCCGCCGGCCCTCTCGCGCACAGACCGCTGGGAATTGTAGTTTCACTAATGGGGCCAGCCTGGGTGAAGATGGGTGAAGAGTCAAGAGCCCGTCCTTTTCCTACCAAATGAGTCGGATCACAGGTGCATGCTGGGATTTGTGGACAAACATCTTTACATAAGACTACAATTCCCGAGATACTAAACAACAAGCGGTGCAGGCGTTGCATTCAGGGAAATGTAGTTCTATTAGGCCCCACCCCCTCACCCAGGGGAGAAGGGCATGCTGGGAATAGTAGTTTAAAAATTTTTTAAACTGTCCTGGGGAGCTAGAAAATCTTTCCATTCCTCATCCAGTGCTTTCTATAATTTTTTAAAAATAGAAACAAGGATCTAGATATATTGCCTAGGTTAATCTCGAACTCCTGGCTTCAAGCGACACTCAGCCTCCCAAATCACAGGAATTACAAACATGAGCCACCACCACATCAGGTCAGTGCTTTGCAAAATATGTTGCGTTTGTCTCTCGGGAGACAACCGTTTAAGAGCATGAATTTGAGGCCGGGCGCGGTGGCTCAAGCCTGTAATCCCAGCACTTTGGGAGGCTGAGGCGGGTGGATCACGAGGTCAGGAGTTCAAGACCAGCCTGGCCAATATGGTGAAACCCCTTCTCTGCTAAAATTACAAAAATTAGCTGGGCATGGTGGTGCACACCTGTAATCCCAGTTACTTGGGAAGCTAAGGCAGGAGAATCTCTTGAACCCGGGAACAGAGGTTGCAGTGAGCCAAGATCGTGCCACTATACTCCAGCCAGGGCAAAAGAGCGAGACTCAGTTTCAAAAAAAAAAAAAAAAGAAAAAGAAAAAACATTTGTTGAATGAAGAAACGCATTTTCAGCAAGAAAATAGGCGCTGCCCCCACCCTCACAGCATTCACACTCTAGAAGGAAAAATGGACTTAAATGACATAACATAAATAAATTTAAGGCCTGGTATAGTGGCTCACGGCTGTAATCCCAGCACTTTGGGAAGCCAAGGTGGGTGGACCACCTGAGGTTTCGAGTTCAAGAGCAGTCTGGCCCACATGGTAAAACCCCATCTCTACTAAAAATATAAAAATTAGCCAGGCATGGTAGCGTGACTGTACTCCCAGCTACTTGAGAGGCTCAGGCACAAGAAGAACTTAAATCTGGGAGGCAAAATTGTTGTGAGCTGAGAGCATGCCACTTCACTCCAGCCTGGGCAACAGAGTGAAACTCTGTTTAAAAAAAAAAAAAAAAAAAAAAAAGACCAGGCACACCGTGGCTCACGCCTGTAATCCCAGCACTTTGGGAGACCAAGGCAAGTGGATCACCTGAGATCAGGAGTTTGAGACCAGCCCAACCAATATGGTAAAACCCCGTCTCTACTAAAAACACAAAAATGGCCGGGCGCGGTGGCTCAAGCCTGTAATCCCAGCACTTTGGGAGGCCGAGGCGGGTGGATCACGAGGTCAAGAGATCGAGACCATCCTGGTCAACATGGTGAAACTCCGTCTCTACTAAAAATACAAAAAATTAGCTGGGCATGGTGGCGCGTGCCTGTAATCTCAGCTACTCAGGAGGCTGAGGCAGGAGAATTGCCTGAACCCAGGAGGCGGAGGTTGCGGTGAGCCGAGATGGTGCCATTGCACTCCAGCCTGGGTAACAAGAGTGAAACTCCATCTCAGAAAAAAAAAAACAAAACCACAAAAATTAGCCGGCCATGGAGGCATGCAGCTGTAGTCCCAGCTACTAGGGAAGCTGAGACAGGAGAATCGCTTGAACCCAGGAGGGGGAGGTTGCGGTGAGCTAAGATCACGCCACCGGACTCCAGCCTGGGCTATAAAGCGACACTCCTTCTCAAAAAGAAAAAAAAAAAAAAAGATATTAGCCAGTGCTACAGTCACAAGAAGGCTATCTTTTTTTTTTTTTTTTTTTTCCTTTTTTTCTTTTCTGAGACAGGGTCTCACACTGTAACCCAGGCTGGCATGCAATGGTGCAATCACACCTCACTGCAGCTTCAACCTCCAGGGCTCAAGCAATCCTCCCACCTCAGCCTCCTGAGTAGTGGAAACTACAGACACACGCCACCAAGCCCAGCTAATTTTGAAATTTTTTTGGAAAGAAGAGGTCTTGCTGTATTTTCCAGGCTGGCATGTGAACACTTGACTGGGGCTGAAGGATTTGTGTTCTGGGTAGCTCGCTCCTGTGGTTGGCAGGTGAATGCTGGCTGTTGGCCAGAGGCCTCAGTTCCTTATCACGTGGATCTCTCCACAAGGACGTGTGAATGTCCTCACGTGGCAGCTATTTTCCCAAAGAATGAGTGATCCAAGAAAGAGCAGGCAGAAGCTGCTATGTCTTTTATGACCTTGCCTCAGATCTTTTACGACACTGTCATTTCCACAGTATTCTACTGGCACCTGATCAACCCTGTCCAATGCAGGAGGCAATGCCAATACCAGGTGAGAATCACTGGGGTCCATCTTGGAGGCTGGCTGCCGCAACTGCTCATAACAGGGGCACTTGGCCAAGTTGAACAGCTAGTGACGGCTTTCCAGAGGGGGAGACATTGAGCTGAGATCAGAAGGACAAGTGGGGCCAGGCATGGTGGTGCACACGTGTAATCCCTGCTACTGGGGAGGCTGAGGCAGGAGAATCACTTGAACCCCGGAGGCAGAGGTTGCAGTGAGCTGACCTAGCGCCACTACACTTAATCATGGGTAACAGAGCAAGACTCTGTCTCAAAAAAAAAAAAAAAGGGCCGGGCGCGGTGGCTCAAGCTTGTAGTCCCAGCACTTTGGGAGGCCGAGGCGGGTGGATCACGAGGTCGAGAGATCGAGACCATCCTGGTCAACATGGTGAAACCCCGTCTCTACTAAAAATACAAAAAATTAGCTGGGCATGGTGGCACGTGCCTGTAATCCCAGCTACTCAGGAGGCTGAGGCAGGAGAATTGCCTGAACCCAGGAGGCGGAGGTTGTGGTGAGCGGAGATCGCGCCATTGCACTCCAGCCTGGGTAACAAGAGCGAAACTCCGTCTCAAAAAAAAAAAAAAGGGCTGGGTGGAGTGGCTCACACCTGTAATCCCAGAACTTTGGGAGGGCCAAGTCCGGAAGATTATTTGAGGTCAGGAGTTCAAGACTAGCCTGACCAACATGGAGAAACCCTGTCTCTATTAAAAATACAAAAAAAAATTAGCTGGTATGGTAGTGAATGCCTGTAATTTCAGCTACTCAGGAGGCTGAAGCAGGAGAATTGCTTGAGCCTGGGAGGCAGAAGTTGCGGTAAGCCCAGATTGCGCCATTGCACTCCAACCTGGGCAACAAGAGCAAAACTCTGTCTAAAAAAAAAAAAAAAAAAAAAAAGTTAGTGTGGTGGCTCATGCCTCTAATCCCAGCACTTTGGGAGGTCAAGTTGGGCAGATCACTTGAGGTCAGGAGTTTGATACCAGTCTGGACAACATGGTGAAAGCCCATCTCTACTAAAAATACGAAAATTAGCTGGGCTTTGTGGTGCGCGCCTGTAATCCCAACTACTTGGGAAGCTGAGGCAGGAGAATCCCTTGAACACAGGAAACAGAGGTTGCAGTGAGCTGAGACAGTGCCACTGTACTCTAGCCTGGGCAACAGAGCAAGCCTGTGGAAGGAAGGAAGGAAGGAAGGAAGGAAGGAGGGAAGGAAGGAAGGGTCCCAGCACTTTGACTTCACCCTGGAAACATTTTCCTTTGAGTTGTCCATTACAATATGCTTGCCATAGGAAAAAATTGGAAAGAGATAGGATATACATCACTTGAGAGAGTCAACTAGTCCATATAAAGTCCCATAAGACAGTATTACCCAGGGTCAGGTGTGGTGGCTCACACGTGTGCCACCATGCCTGGCTAATTTCTGTATTTTTTGTAGAGATGGGGTTTCACCATGTTGGCCAAGCTGGTCTCGAACTCCTGACCTCAGGTGATCTGCCTGCCTCAGCCTCCCAAAGTGCTGAGATTACAGGTGTGAGCCACTGCACCTGGCCTATCTTATTTATTTTTATTCTTGTTATTTCTATTGAGGCAGAGTCTTCCTCTGTTACCCAGGAGTGCAGTGACCTGATCATAGCTAACTGCAGCCTCGCATTCCTGGGCTCAAGCAATCCTCCTGCCTCGGCCTCCAAGTGTCTGGGACTATAGGTGTCCACCATTTTGTCTGTCAATTTTAAAATTTATTGTAGCCGGGCGCGGTGGCTCAAGCCTGTAATCCCAGCACTTTGGGAGGCCGAGGCGGGTGGATCACGAGGTCAAGAGATCGAGACCATCCTGGTCAACATGGTGAAACCCCATCTCTACTAAAGATACAAAAAATTAGCTGGGCATGGTGGCACGTGCCTGTAATCCCAGCTACTCAGGAGGCTGAGGCAGGAGAATTGCCTGAACCCAGGAGGCGGAGGTTGCGGTGAGCCGAGATGGCGCCATTGCACTCCAGCCTGGGTAACAAGGGCGAAACTCCGTCTCAAAAAAAAAAAAAAAAAAAAAAAAAATTTATTGTAGAGGCCAGGCACCGTGTTTCATGCCTGTAAACTCAACACATTAGGAGATTGAGGCATGAGGATCACTTGAAGCCAGCAGGAGGATTACTTGACCAGCCTGGGCATCATAGCAAGACCCTTTTTCCAAAGAAAGAAAAGAAAGAGCGAGCGAGCGAGCGAGCGAGAGAGAAGCAAAGAAAGACAGAAAGAAAGAAAAGAAAGAAAGAGAAAGAAAGAAAGAAAGGAAAGAAAGGAAGCAAGCAAGAAAGAAAAGAAAAAAGGTGGAAAATTTACTTATTTATTTATGTATTTTCCAGAGACAGGATCTGAAAATCCTCCTGGCCTCAAGTGATCCTTCTCCCTTAGCCTCCTAACATACTGAAATTATAATCGCAAGCCAGCGTGCCCAGCCTCAATTTTAAACGTTTATAAAAATATGTTGTGGCCGGGCGCCGTGGCTCACGCCCGTATTCCTAGCACTTTGGGAGGCCAGGGCCAGTGGATTGCCTGGGCTCGGGAGTTTGAGACCAGCTTGGGCAATACGGCAAAACCCTGTCTCTATTAAAAATACAAAAAATCAACAAGGCGTGGTGGCATGCGCCTGTAGTC